TTTAGTCATTACTTCCATGTAAGAAACAAGATTATAGCTGCTGCATAGGTGTCTTTGAAGAGCTGTTGAGTAACTGGCCTGTTGTCAGCCTGATTCTTGGGAAGCAGCATCTGTCACAGGCTCTGAGCTGTGTGCCACAGGAGGGCCTTGCCTCTCGTTCCTGCCCTCCCCCTTTCTGTCAGCCCCTCTTACCTTATTTAACTAAGAGCTCAGTAAATCCAGTTTCACCTGAGCATTGTGACAGTTAGTGCTGTGGTGGTGGTGGGGGTCATTTGCCTAATTTTTCAGGAACTCTGTTATACTGAGGAGGAACATTAAGAACTTTATTTGCCTGAAGGTCTGTGAGCCTTGTGGGAGAAAGATGAGGGGATCTTGAGGTTTAGATCTGGTCCCATGACAACAGGGGTAATTAAAGGGCCCTACATTACTATTGGCAATAGGGCCATGAACTGCATACCAGCACGTGGCTAAAAAAGGAAATCCCTGGAGTCTCTGGCAGGGCAATAGCTTAAAGACCATTAGAGATAGTCCCTCCCCAACACCCCTCCCCCCACAAGCCCTCTGCCAAAGAAAACAGATTTCTATATTAATCCTTTATAACAGGGCTATGCAATAGAACTTTCTGCGATGTTGGAAATACTGTGTTATTCAATATAGTGGCTTCCAGCCTCATGAAACGTGGACCTGAGATGTGGCTAGTGCAAATGAGGAACTGAATTTAAATTTTTTAAAATTGCAGTTCATTTACTTGTTTTTATTGCTATCCATATTTTATAGTGCAGTTTTATAATCTTTCTGCAAAGCCTTGGTGCTTCCTGAGGCCCAGGGGCCAGTCAGAAGGGGTGGTATGGACGTTCAGGAGGAGGACCGCCATCTGGGTCCTCAGCCTTTAACTGAAATGGTTGAAATACATATACCGCCCTGTTAAGAGCATGGTTACTAAAGTCAGGCAGACCTGGGTGGGATCCTGGCTCTTTCATTTTTTAACCCTAGGGTCTTGGGCAAGTTTCCTGTAAATGTTTAAGAGTCTCAGCTTCGCATCTGTGAAACGGGAATAATACCTCCGAGAGCATGTCTTCCTCCATAAGGTCCGTAGGGCTTGTTCCTTTCATTCATTCAGTAAATATTGATGGAACACCCTGAGCAGTCAGGCTGTGTGCTGGGTACATAGAAGTGAACAAAACATACATTGTCTTTGCCCTCCCGACAGCTGTAGCCCAGGGTGGAATCTATCAAATGGTGACACAATAAAATAATATCTAACTTTTTTATTTTTTGTGAGGATTCAATCAGACAATATGTGTAAAGTGCCCAAGACAGGTTGTTAGAACTCAAATATCTGTTCTCTGGAACTCTGCTTCTCTCCTGCCCAGGGTCCTTGATAATACTCCAGGCCCCCTGACTTACACAAAGAGAGATGCCCTGACCTGCTCCCTTAGATTAGATAGAATTCAAATTTCCCTTTTACCAAATCAGAAAACAACCAATCAGGATAGGTCAGGGCTCCTGCAATATCCTCAAGACATGGAACAGGCAACACCCTAGGGTCCCACCACACCTCTTCTCTGCATGCTGGGAAGAGATCTCTCTGGGAGAGCCCAGGCTGGGACGTGCTAGTCCTGTCTCCTCTCATATAGGTGGGCTCAAGGGTGGCCATGTTGCTGGAGACCTGGATGCCAGGGTTCCGGGTCCCAGGTTAATCTGGGACATGAATGTAGAAACTCCAACCTGACCTTGAACTAGAAGTGCTGGGAGCTGAGGAGCCTGGGAGGTGGGAAGGAGAGGATTGGTAGGCTTGCCTACCTGCCTGCCCTATCCTCTCCCCCAGCAGAATGCCAGCCAGAGGCTGGTTCTTCCTTCCTTCTGACACAGCCTGAGAGAGGAGTGTGACCTCAGGGCAGATTCCAGAATGAGGGCACAGCCAAGAATAGGACCCAGGAACCCTGCCACCCATCCTGCCTGCATTAATCACACATTCCCCAGAGGAGGAGGGAGGAGGGAGGCTTCAGTCTCTTTGGGGAGGTGGCAGGAAGAGGAGGAAGGGAGGCTTGCTGAGGTGGAACTGGGGAAGAGGAGGGAAGACCTGAGGAACCCCTTCCCCAAGCTGCGGTCATCCAGTGCAGTGCACGCCAGGCCCATGGTCCCTGGATCCCGTTCCTCCAGCAAGCTCCTGCTGAGCTCTGTGAGCTGGGCCCGGGGCACTCCTGGAGCCCCTAGGCAACCATTCTGATCAGGATCAGTGCCAGCACAGAGGGAGACTTGAAGAGGCCTAGGCAGCCTGAGGACAGCAAGGCTTCCCCCAAGGAGTCACGTCTTGAAGGACGAGTAGGCACAGGGCTGATGTTGCACTCGGGAATCTAGGCCATGACTACGTATGTGTGTGATGGAAATACATGTCACATGGCGAGGTCGTAAAGAGCCTGGGTGGTGCGCATGCGGCTGGCTGGAGGCAGGCTCTTCTGTGGTATCTGCAGTCCTGACGGTTCGCCACATTGCCCAGTCCAGAGCAGGGTGTGTGTGTGTGTGTGTGCGTGTGTGTGTGTGTGTGTGTGTGTGTAAAGCATAACATAAGCATTAGGAGTTCTGATGTCAGATTAGCAGGTTCCAAATCCTGGCTCTGCCACTCAGCAGCTGTATGATTTTGGGCATGTTTTCTTTTCCCTTCTAGCCTTAATTTTTCCACCTACAAAACAGTATCCTATCTCATGCAGCTTCAATGGAGATTACAAAGAGACAGTGCCCAGTGCCTATCACACAGTAAGTCCTCACTCAGGCTGATGTAACAGGACAGTTGGACAGAGGGACTCCTCCATAGTGGAAGGAAAACACCATAAGGCTATGTATTATGGTTCCCCTTCCCTGGTCAGGTTCCATCTCTCGTCCCTGCTCTCTGGCCCCACTGTCCAGGGGGTGACATCAGACTATGGAGCAGCTGGCCACACAATGGAGCAGAGTGTCCTAGGAGGCTGGAGGTGCAGGGAGGGGTGTGGGGGGGGTGCAGAGGGTGGAAAAAGCCAAGCTGCCTGGCTCAGAGGCCCAGGGGCTAGTCTAGAGAGACGGTGGGCCAGAATGGGCTGGAGGGGAAGAGATGCCCTTAAAAGAGGGACAGTGGGGCCAGGGAGATACAAACACAGAAAAGGAGGCATGAGTGTCCAGTATAGACTGGGAAGTGGGTGAACCTGGCCTCTGGAAGGAGACCTCAGGCTCCCCATGTCCTGGGGCCCCCTGAGGCCAAATCTCCCAGACTGAGTGAGGTAACCTCCACAGGCTGCCTGGCAACCCAGCCTTGGGAACTTGGCTTGTCCTTGACTGAGCCCCTGCTAGATTTCAGGCATTGCATAAGGCCTAGGGTAGCAGAGATGAAAGAGTAAACACGGTTTCAAGGATAGAAAAATAAATGCCATGCAGTATTCAGAAATTGCAGTAGATTCCCAACAACCCATTCCCAAATGCCATGTATTCTGAGCCCCAAATCAGCCCATGTGAAGAGCCCAGGCTGGACATACTCTGTGGGCAACAGAATAAAGCATTGAAGCTGTATGTCACTGTCCAGCACCCAAAAGAACAAGGGTTGAGCTTTAGGTCCTGGGGCCTATTCTTGGCCAGGGAGCCACTGAGGGTGAGAAGGTTCCAGGCAGCCCCTCTGTGCCAGGCTGTTTCTCAGGTTTTCCAAGCTTCCAAGGGATATAGGCTCAACCCCCCAACCAAGTCTCTGTAAAGTGCTCTTCCTGCTGTCTTTCTTACAGATGAGGAACTTAAGGCTCAGAGAGAGTGGATAAGTGGCAGAGTTCTGATTCAGAGCTGTGTGAGTGCCCCCGTGGGTTGTGTGGTTTCTGACTCTGCCAGCCTGGCACTGTGGGTGGCTCCCCTGAACTTGCACTTCCACCCGGAAAGCAGAACAATGATCTGCGCCCTATGGTCCAGCCACAGGGCTCAGGCCCATATTTGTGCAAGTGAGGGTAGGCAGGAGGTGACACTGGCCCCCTTGTCCCTTTTGCTATAGGCTATTTGTTTAGGCACCCTGGGCTGGAAACAGGTGCAACAGAGGTCCCCAGGCCTAGCGAGGGGCAGAGTGAGGAGATAGACTTCTCCCTCCCTGATCACAGCAAGTTGGGGCTGATGGTTCTGTTCCTGCCGTCTTGAGGGCTAAATTTTGTGTTCAGTATCCTCCCAGGGACAACTTGAGATCTCCTGTGGGTGGCTCCCCTTAATCCACACTCCTCTGGCCCTTGTTGGGGAACAGCTTGTCTTCCTGCTCCTGGCCCCCTTTTTATTTATTCTCTTATTGCAGTGAGAATGGCTGACCTGGACTGGGCTAGTTCTAGCCTGGATTCATCCTTTGGGTCATGGCCCAGGGACGTGTGTAGGGAGATGTCTCTGGTGGGGACACAAGTTGTGGGTGTGCTGTAGTTGGAGGGCTCTGGACACATGCCAAGGGGTGGGGATAAGCCATGAGCCTCCTTGAGGCCAAAGGTGCTGCTGGTCTCATTCTCAGAAGCCAGCTCCATGTCCCGAGCATACAGGAACCTGGCCTCACCCTGAATCCCAACAAGGAGTCACCACTGGGCAGCACGCCCCTGCCCACCCCTCTCTTGTCTCTTCCACCATCTGATCTCAACACCACCTGTGGTAGGTTGACTCCGCACCTGATCCACCATGCATCCTGGTGGGAGGGGTACTGGGATGGAAGTGAGCACCCTGGCTGGCCTGAGCCCCACCCCTCCTGCCTCTCTGGCTCAGCTTTCTCATCCCTAATCTACAGAGTTGTGCTGAGCGCCATAGTTAAAAATTCACAGTGGGCCTAGAATATTTGCAGTGTCCCTCCACCACCCACACATGATGCCCCTGGCCTGACTTCCGTCCTGGAAGGTCATCGGAGCAAATGACACTAACCACCAGTCCTCCCTCACTTCCCCACAGTAGCCCAAAGGAGTCACCCAAGAAGAGCTGTTGATACTATGAGTTTTTAATTAGTGTCTTCCTCCTACATTTGAGGAAGAAATGAGGATGCCCCCCAATGGCCTTCTTTAGCTTTGGAGGAGCATGGACAGAATGAAGGACTGAAGAGGGGATGGGGGGGCAGATGCAGAGCTGACAGTGGGGTTCCCAAGTCCTCTATCTAGTAGTGGGGTGGCTGGGCCCACGCAGGAGGCTGGAAACACACACACACACACATGCCACACACACGCACACACACACACACACACACACACACACACACACACAGCACAAATGAGCTGCCACATCCCCAAACCTTTCCTCCCAGACCCGTTTACAGCCTCCCTCTGGGTCCCTGCAGGCTCTCGAGGCTGCCACCAGATGGGAGCATCGAGCAACATTCCTCCTGGTTCCAAGCTGCCTCCTCTCCCTTCATTCTTCCACTACCCCCTTCCCAGCCTGCTCTTCTCCTCCTTTATTTTTCTTGCTACCAAAGCAGATCCTGGGGCTTCTATCTGCTTATGTCCAGGGAAGTGAGTGGTATGTGGAATCACACCATCCATCGGACGGGAGCACATGCCAGCCGGGAGGGCTTCTGCGGGGCCTTTGTGTTGGGGCATCATGAGCTGGGAAGGACATCTCTCTGTGGTTCTCGCACTGGGCACCCAGGAAGTGCTCAGAAAGCATACACTGAGCTGAACTGAACAGAATCAAATCAACAGACCAAGGCAGCCCAGAGAGGAAATAGGTAATCTGCCGGTGCCATGGTGGCCTCCGAGACACAGGCTAACCCCACCCCAAGGCACCTGTCCCGGCAGCCTCCATTCAGGGCTGGGTTGGACTATGTCTCTGGCTTCCCACTGCCACGACCCTTACCATGAAGTGCTCTCAGTGATCTAAGAGGCTGTGGGGGAGMGTGTCCTGCTGGGTTGCAGGGCCTTCTTGTCACCACACACCTTCTTTKCGAGCCAGTGTGTTCAACCATCAGCCATCTCTTGAACTCTGGGAGAGCCAGAGGAGGCAGGTGGCCAGCAAAGGGTGACTGAGAAGGCCTGAGCAGCCTGGTCACCAGGAATAACATACATGTATCTATTGACTTCTCCTTTGTTCCCCTCAGCTAAAAGGGGCCCGGCCCTCTTGTTGWACTCAAAGAATAGAAGCGGATCTAAGACCCTCTGGTAGCTTTCTTGTGACATGTTGATAGCCGTTTCCCTGCGGGCCCAAGACTGTCGAATCTGATCTTGCCCAGTTTAATGACTGAGGGGCACCGGGGTGGGTAGGTGGAAGAGGACCAGGGAGAGGTGCATGGGCTTCAGTGCAGGCCCAGGAACTCCTTGAGGACATCACAGGTCTTCTTGTGCATGACCTCTCGGAGCTTCCTGACCCGCCGGCTGCTGGATGCTCCCACGAAGCTGTCGGGTCGCAACATGGCCATACCGCCATCCACCTCGCCCATGATGATGAGTGGCGTCTCGCCCACTGTCACGTTGGGGCAGGGACAGGCCCAGTCCACGTGGAGCAGAGTGACCTCCAGTGGCTCCCGGCCCAGGAACTTGAGGCCCATCTTCTCATCCTTTAGAACCTCGTCCACAGTCACCAGAGCACGGCCGGAGTCAGGCTCCTCAGTCAGCTCTGAGACTCGGCCCAGTATGACAAAGTCACTCCGACAGAAGCTGGTGACGAGTTTCTGCCGTGGCTTGCAGGCTCGACACTGCTGGTTGCCCCGAGGGAAGGGGCACGACTCCTCACAGGCCTCGCGGCTCTCAAAGTTGTTCCCATTGCCCTCACAGCCGCCATAGACGAAGGACTGGCACTGGCCGGTCTGGCTGTTGTAGGCCCAGCGTGGCGCGTAGGCCTTGCAGGGCCCCTGAAGGGCGGGCAGGCTGCACACGGCCAGGGGCCCACTCATGCAGGCCACCATGCAGGCCTCGTAGGTCTCGAAGTGGTTGAGGTTGCGGTGGCAGTGGCCAAAGGTGAAGGTCAGGCAGTTGTTGGCCTGGGCGTCGAAGTGCCAGCGGGTCTGCTCCTCGCCACAGTCCTCGCTGTCCGGGGGCTTCAGGCACTCGGCCGCTGGGAAGGCTGTGCCGTTGGGGCTGCTCTCTGAGGTGGCCACAGCCTGACCCCCCCTGACCACGGACAGCGGGAAGTCTGCCCTCAGGACCCCGGCAGCATTCCGGGCCGTGCAGGTGTAGATGCCAGCATCCTGAGGCTGGGCGTTATAGATGACCAGCTGGGCAATGTTGGTGACCACTACATTGCCACGCACATGGTTGGGCCGCATGACCACGTTCTCCCGATCCTCCAGCTGCTTCTCCCAGGTGATCTCAGGCCGGGGCCGGCCCACCACGTCACAGAGGAAGCTCACCGTCTCACCCACGGTGACTGACTGGTGCACGGGGTGGTTGAGCAGTGCCGGGGCCGCCATGTCCAGCCCAGGGGTCTCCGGGGAGGCTGTGGTGGGGTGCACAGTGGTCTCGGGAGGCAGGGGACTGGTGTTGGGCCAGGTGAAGTGATAGCGGCAGGTGACCACAGCCAGCGTGATGCCCCTGGAGCAGGCCTCGGCGTCCATGTAGCAGCGGTTGTAATAGGTGAGGCCGTCAGAGGCACAGGTAAAACTGGGCTCCTTCTCACAGCGATCTTTGCACTTACACACGGGCTGGCCATCCCAGATGTCACACTCAGAGCCCTGCTGCAGACACATGAAGTGGTCACACGTAGCCTCCTTGGGCATGCCCACCGGGCCCTTCTTCCCTCTCACGTCCATGTAGCGGGCCGCCACACAGCTCTTGGTCCCACACACATTGGGGCAGCACTTCTCATAGGTCTCACATTCCTGAAAGAGCCACAGAGAGAGCTCTGAACAGGGAGGGGAAGGAAGAAAGGACACAGTCCTGCCCTGACCTCAGGGTTTGTGGGGAGGGGACTTGCCGGGCTCACCATTGAGTGTGAGTGGAACCCCTGGTGGTGAGAGACTGAGCTCAGGCAGACCTGGCACTGCCAGGTGCCAGGCCCTCAACTACGAGCTGACAGGTAGCTTGCTGTGCTCCTCACAAGCCCGTGGTGGGTGCAACCATTATTCCCACTTCATGAATGATGCTACCGAGGCACAGAGAGGTTACAGGTAGCAGACGCCTGTAATCCCAGCGGCTTGGGAGGCTGAGGCCAGAGGTCCATAAGTTTAAAGCCAGCTTCAGCAACTTAGCAAGGCCCTAAGCAACTCAGTGAGATCCCCAGGGCTGGGGATGAGGCTCAGTGTTTAAGTGCCCCTGGGTTCAATTCCTGGTACCAGAGAGAGAGAGAGAGAGAGAGAGAGAGAGAGAGAGAGAGAGAGAAAGAGGGAGAGGGAGAGATATTAAGTGACTTGCCCAAGGTCATCTCCATGACTAGTGTGTGGAAAGTGGTGGATCACAGATTTCTAAGAGGGGACATTCTCTTACCACCATCTATATATGAGTATACAGAGATGCAGAGAGGTGACAATCATGCCACAGCAATGGGAGGTGGCAGAAAGGGACTGCAAAGCCCAGTGGGTGGGATTCTGATATCACCAAATGAGCTCTGGGCTCACAGTGATGCTGCATTCGGGTCTTTTCCGTTGGCTTGAGGATGCCCTGGTGAACTGGGAGACGCCACCTCTGGAGTCTGTCCACACCCCGTCTCCCCTTGAGGAGATCAGGATGTGTTGGGCCCAGGACACCAGGTCTCAGCCTACACCAGAGCCAGGTGCTCGGCTCCATGAGGGACACTTCATGGAGAAAGCCACAAGAAAAAACTCCCTTGTGTGGCAAAGGTCAGCAAGTCCATCAGCGAGGCATTGCCAGACCATAATCCCCTCTGATTTTCTGTGGAGCCGCCTAAGGCATTAGTTTAATTCCTCGAAATTAGCAACATGCTCCTGTGGCCGGCACAAACAGGGATTTCATGTGGTGTTTTCCACAATAACATGCCGTACCCACTGGGCAGCGGGCAAGCCTCCTGATCCTCCACCAGCTAGTGGCTCTGTGAGCTACTCCCCACCGGGGCTGGCCTCTGGTCCTCCCGACTTTTGTTCAGCCTCTTTGACATTCCACATCAACTAAGGGGGGACCCCCGCCCTGGCTCTGCAGGGCCTGCCGGCTTCCCTTGTTTACCCTCTGCCCCTTCCAGCTCAGAATGGGGACTTTGTTTTACAGCCCTTGTTTGGCACAGGCTTCTCGGCCATACAGGGAGGCTTTGGGCAGGGAGGGGCCGTGTGTGTGTACCACTTGGGTCTAAGGGAGAGAGACCCCAAGGAGAACTGATGGCAGGTTAGGGGACATGGGGCAGGAGAGCCTGCTTCTTGACCTGAGGTCATCCATTTCCTAAGATGACAGGAAGCTCCCTCGGGGCCCAGAGGCCCGTGAGAGGATGGGCCCTTGGGAACTGGGGGAAGGAACCTGGAGGGGATCCTGAGAAGACTTTCACTTAAGGGACTGGGAGGCACCCAGAGGCTGTCTGAATCCCCAGCCCCGAACAGGTGCCTTCTCTCCAAACTCACAAAATCGGTCCTACTGTCCCCAAGCCCCACCTGACTTTTCAGGCCACCCTGTGCCAATGACACAAGCTTCTCTGCAAATGTAGCCAACAAGTGAAGTGACCTCAGCCTGTGGGAATAGCCCTGGCTCTCTTGCTCCTTATCTTTTTTTCTAGACACTACCATGGCCCACTAGAAGCATCTATCCCGAGAGGACAGAGAATTGTCCCCTGGGCACTGTGAGGCAGAGGCCACTTTCCCCAGGGAAGCCCTGTACTCTCCTGTGGGTGACCGAGCATCGCAGGAACACCGGGTCTCTCATGTTCCCTGGTGATGTCTGGCCCAGACCCAGACCCAGAGCCCCAGGGGACCCTGTTACCCTCAGAGCTGGCCAGGACAGGCAGCAGGTAGCTGTGCTCAGAGCAGATGTGGGTACCACAGGCCCTTTGCCCTGCCAGAGTGGGAGGGAGTGGCCGTCAGGGTGCCTTGGCATTGAGGAGAAAACTGCTCTAGAATCAGCCCTGCCCTGCAGTGTCCTCAGAGAGGAGCAGGAGGGAGGACTGAGGAGGCTGGCAGGCTGGAACTCAGTCCACTTCCTTCCTGAGGATGCCTGCCCTGACCCCCAGTCTGGCTACTCTCTGGGTCTAGGCCCAAAACCTGGGAGGTGGCTGGAGGCCAGATGAAACTTCAGCTTTGTCTGGCAGATATGGGCTCCAAGCCCACCTGTCCCTCGCTGGCCATGGTGCCGCTCTGAGTGTCCACTCTCCTACCTGTGAGTGGGCAGCTGACACACATCTGCCAATTCTCTCTATGAGCCTGGCACAGTGCTGGCCCACAGCAGCCCTCAGCACCCAGGAAGGAGCAGCAGCCCGCGATTCCCAGGCTCTGGTGAACTTGGACATCACACCCTCTTTCAGGCCTCAGTGACAACAGACAGGCATCCATCGTGCTCTGTTTATCTCCTGGTGGGCAGGGCCTGTGCTCCTTCACGTTCCTGGAGGGCACTCCCCAGTCGTCCCCAGCCCACGCCCCCACCCCCTCACTCACACCTCAGGTCCATCTYGGGCTCCGCATTCCCAACTCACCTGGTCCGTCTCACACTCTCGCTTGCAGGTGCTCTGTGCATCCACCCAGAGGTTGGGGTTCATGTCGTTGGGGCAGATGCCAGCATGGGAATAGCGGATGGGCGGCAGTGCCAGGCCTGGCGGGGACACCCGGAGCAGCAGCAGCAGCAGCAGCAGACCCCGGCAGGACCAGAACCGGCGACACCCCAGGGCCCTCATGGTGCGAACTGCAGCTGCCGAGACCTCCCCTGCGGCGACGCCAGGGGCTGGGGCCCACCGGGGCCTTCTCCTCCGGGGCTGGAGACACCTGCCCTCCCGGCCCCGCAGGTCTCCTTGCTGAGGCTGCTGCTGCAGCGGCTGCTGCCTCCACCAAGTGCAGCCTGCTGGGCTGTGCGGCTTCAGATAAAAGAAAGGTCTTTGGAAGGAAACTCTGTCTCCTGAGTGTGCAGGGAGAGGAGCCGCAGCAGGGGCCCGAGCCTGGATTTCTATCCTGGGCGCGCCACCCGAGTGGGAGCGAGCTAACCTGATGCCTGTCACAGGCAGGCTGCTGGCGCCTCTGTCCCGTGGCCGATCACAGACTTATTGCAGAAGGGGGAGAGAAAGCTGGAAGCAGTTTAGGCAGCGTATCTGGCACGGTGGGACACCTGCTTGTTTTGACTCCAGGAGGCCTTTAACCCCTTCAAGGGCCAGAAAYGGCATGTGCTTCGGGGGAGCTGGCTCCAGGACACGCACGCTCCCTGTAAAGAAGGTTTGTTTCCCTTTCCCCCACCTCCCGGGGCTGGGCCCCCTCCTCCCTTTTGGCCACCTCTAAAGAACACACAGTCGCTTGTTACAAGGAGGGACCTGAGCGGGCTGAGTAGCGTCGCCCAGCCCGATAGTACATTTGAGAGCAAATGACGTGGAAAAACAACAAGTTCACGGCCGTTCCAGGGCGGGCCTGAGCTGCGCTGAGCCGTGTAAGCCGACTCCCACCCCAGCACCAGGTTCCCCGGTGGGGGGTGTGCACACGGATAGTTCCCTATCTCTGGGTCCCGGGCGGTTGGTGTCTGAAGTTCCAACTTTGGTGAATTTTCCCCAAATCATTCCAGAGACACATACCAGATACGCTCCGGCTCCCCCCCGATCCGGGACGTATCACATTCCTCGCTCCTCCATCCACACACTCAGCTCCAAGAAACCCCCCCCAGAAAGATAGCAGCATAGCGCTGCACGGCCCAGCTGCCCGCACCTGTGGCCACGGTGGCCACTACTCAGGGAACCCTTTCTGAGTGCCAGGCACTGTACAGGCACCATCTTGGCCCCCACCCCCAATCCCCTGCACAGAGGACTGAAGAGCGCAAGACGCTTGCCCAGGGTCACAGTAAGCAGCGATGGCAAGGCCAGTCTTTCTTAATATGTGCCCGACTCGACATGCATCACCTCGTTTAATCCTCACAGAAAACTGTACCTCCATCTTAGGTTTGAAGGGACACACAGAGAGGCTAAGCAATTTGCCCTGTGTCACACAGCTCCAAGACCTTATTAAGCTAACCCTCCTCCATCCTCTGCCAAAACTGCTTTCGAGGCACCATCCAAAGTCTTGGTTTTTATAGGGTGGACAAGAAATTTTTGAAGATCAGGAGCTTATATTTGTGGAGGAACCTGGAAGAGAGCCAGAAGTTGCTGGGGGGCTGGGGGCACCTCTCATTAGAAAGGCCTGCATCTAAAACAGAAGAGCCAGCAGCCTGTGTGTGCTGGTGCTGGTCACTTGGCTGAGGCGGCAGCAGGGGCGGGTGGGGGGGGATGACAAACCACAGAGGGTTCGAGGAGCAGTGACTGAGCAGCAGTGTCCCCAGGATGGTGTCCCCAGGATAGCAGAGGGTGAGCACCACACATGAGAACCAGAAGGGGTCTCCAGGCCCTCAGCAGCCCTCTCAGTTTACAGACGGGGAAACTGAGGCCACAGACCACCCCTAATTGGACGGTAGGGAGGCCACATGGCGCCCCTCCCCCGCCCACTTCCTCTTCCCAGCTGGGTGGGGTGGCCCTCCTCCCCTGGAGCTGATTCCTTCCTGTCGTGTGGGTCGTTCTGCAAGATCTGTCTTTTCTGCTTATGTCAAGTCACTAATGAAGGGTGTCAGATCCTAATCCTCTAAATTATTGGAATAAACCTCCCTCCGAGGCCAGGCGCAGTAATGAAGCCAGACAGCGGGCGATGCTGGCTGCTTTGAATTCCCTGTAATTTCATAAAAGTGTGTTCCAGCTGCTCCGTCCGAGGCAGGGCCTCCACACAGCCCTCGCACGGCCTCCTTTGATATCCCAAAGAGAAATGGACAGTGACACATTTCTAAGCAGCACTTAGAGACACTGTCACAGCCCCATTATCCAGGGATAGGCCTCCAAGGAGAGGAGGCTGATTTCTGGGGAGGTCACTGAGACCATGAGGGCAGGGGAAAGATGGGGGGGGTAGAAGAAGGGTGTGGGGAAGACAGAGGGCGCCTGACCATCCTGCCCCCGCTTCGTTCCTGGGGTCAGTGCAGAAAGCCCTCCACCCAGCGTGGTGCTGGAGAGAGCCACGGTACCTTCCCGGGGCCTCCTTCCTAGCCATGCACTCAGGGAAGACGGCCCTAGAACACTCTGACTCCCTCTCGGCCTTTCCAAGTCTCCCACCAGAAACACAGCTGAGAATAATAAATAACGGCCGATCAGGGCTCCGCGCCCACCGCATCTCCACCTCTCTCAGCCCTGCTGACCCTCGCAGCAGCCCGGGGAGGGCGTGCCCTTGTGTGGGTGAGGAAACCAGGTCCCAGGGAGGTGGGGTGGGCCTTCCTGGGTCCCCCGCCCACAGAGCAGCGCTCCCTCCCTCCCCCCTCCCCCGGCCTGCGCTCCTCACACCCCACCCTGCAGAAGGCCCCTCTCAGCCCTGCGGCCCTGTCTTCCTGGCCAGACCACTGGTTGGAAGCTGTTCTGGGAGAGCTTTGAAGTCCCCTCCTCGCAGGCCCCTCTATTCCAGCTTCTTCTCTCGTCCCCGCCAGTCTCCCTGGCTCTTCTGACAAACCCAGGGTACAGAAGACAGTCCAGAGGCCCACTGCCACTGTCCCACAGATCCCGACCTGGGCCACCAAGAGCAGAGCTTGGGCTGAGCTGCCTGGAGGGGCCTGGCCTCAGGATGATCTGGCTGGCCTGCGGGCATCCCCTGCCTTTTACCCGTTCCCCAAGGACATTGGGCACCACTCGGCCTTGCTGGCCACCTGGGGTAGGAGGTCAGAGAGGGCTGAGCTCTGACCTGTCTGACCCTCCAAGGGAGCTTTTAGGTACAGTGGCAGGAGGTCACCCCCAGACAGTGAACTCTGGGTGATCCTTGACCTGAGACCCACCCTGAGAATATCAACTCCTGAGCCACTCAGGTCTTGACAGGACAACCCAAATGACACCCTTTCCCAATGGGTCCGCCTCGACCCCAGGCTTCAGGCACGCACGGGGTGGGGACCCACAGAGACCCACAGCGCTCCGCAGATGCCCCATGGCTTGCAGCAAGCCTCTTACCTGGCGCTGCATCTGCTCCCTCTTTCCCTATCTTATTTCTGTCCACCATTTTTTTTTAAAGTACCTACTATGTGCACATAGATCCACAATAGTCTCTCCACAGAGAGGGCACAGTCTGGGCCAGAAGGCAAGAATGCAAAACGGATGTGGATGAGCATGGCGAATGCTGGGCCGGGGGTCATCACGGGGCTGGTGCTACAGAGAGCGAGCCAGGGAGGCTGGGCCTGGGGTCACCTACACGCACGGGTGGGGCCAGGCCTGAGCTGCAGTCGGGTTTGCTACACCTCTCTGTGGAAAGGCCTGGCCAGCAGCTCAGCCTCCCTGGCCAAGGCCCTCCCTCTGTGGGGCCCAGGCCTCCCGGAAGGGGAGGTGAGCCAGTCAGCAGGTCTAGGAGGGCAGTGGGGGTGGGAGCTGCAGCCCCGGCAAAGTCCAGCCACCCTGCCTGGGCCTCAGACTGAGGCAGCCTTGCCTTCTGCAGAATGGGTGGGGCAGGCAAGACCCCTGGGAGCGTTCCTGCCCTGATCTTGGTCATTTCCACACATTTATGTTTGGGGAGGGGAGAAGATTTGGGAAGCAGAAATTGGGGTTCAGGGAAAAAGGACACCCTGGGTGAATTGCTCAGCAGAGGGGTGGTGCAGGCTGCCTCAGCAGTGATTAGTGAGTCCCACGCCAGGGAATTCAATAAAGCGCCAGGCTCATTACCCAGCTGGGGACCCCCTGCCCGAGCAGCCTCGGGCCTGGGTTACATTACAGGGCTGCATGAACTCTCCCCTCCAAGTGAGGCTGCACGGGGCCTTGGGATAATTACGGGGCCTCAGCAGATGGTGGAGGTGGATGGGGAGGCCTTCAGCTGTGGGGCACGTGACCCATCAGCATCTGTGCGGAACAGGACGAGGGGGGGTCTGCACTGATCTGGGAGTGGGGGGCACTGAATCAAGATCTGGGAATTATGGGGTTGGCAGGGGTGGGCAGAGTCCAGTACCCTGGGCCAGCTGGACCTCCTTGGAGACCCCTGTCTGGGCCAGGGGCACCTGCTGGTGTGGCCGAGGCCCTGGTGTGTGAGGGCGTCTGTATGTGTAACAAGCAGAGGCCGCACAACCCAGTGCCAGCGCCTTTGAGCACTCGCGTGTCCTCCTGGCCTGAGTCTTCCTTGGCCCGGGTCTCACCCCTCCGTGGGGCTTGGGCCACCAACTCGAGCTGGGACGGTCTCTTTCCCCGTCTGAGGCCCCTCCAGCTCTCTCCTCTGTGATCTCCTGCCCTGATTCTTCCAGCTTTGCCTTGATGAAATCAGCTTCAAAAAGCCGAGCACAGACCTCAGCCAAGACCTCAGCCAAGACAAACACGGGAGAGCAGGAGCCGGAGGCCCAGGGCTGCGGGGCTGGGGCCGGCCGGCCACTCGGCTCTGCCAGGGGACGGCAAGGGCCCGTCTCCACTTTCCCCAAGCCTGGGGGATCGATCAGTAGGAACACAGAAGTGGGCACGGCCTCCCACCCTCTCAGCGCTCCCCATCCTAAAAGCTACTGCCCTTGAACTCTGCTGTCCCTCTTGCTTTCTTCTTCCTTTGGATGAGAAAGACACGAGCTCAGACTTGGGTCTCCCTGCTGCCCCATGTTGCCAAGCAAAGGGGCTCACATTCTGTACACCCAGACTCACCCCTGATACTCATTCTAGAAGTCCAAATGTAGTGACTGTGTGTGTGTGTGTGTGTGTGTGGTGTGTCCAGGGGTCAGGGCGGGATGAGAAACAGGCCTTTTCATGACTGACCATTATTCCAACACTTCTGGCTTAACCACAGCCAAAGTACGCAACCTGGACCTCCAGTTTACTTCTCCTGGCTTATCGTTTGCAGCGCCGCCCAAAACTCTGGAAGCTGCCACGCTGCTCCTGCAGGTCTTTCCCTGTAGCCTCTCACACACGGATCTTGTCCTCTGCCATGGACTTTCTCACCTCCTGGAGAGTTCCAGCTTCTCCTGCCCCAAGGCATCTTGACCCATCTCAGAAGCCATATCTTTTTTTTTTTAATATTTTTTAATTGTTGATGGACTTTTATTTTCACTTATTTGTATGCAGTGCTGAAAATCGAACCCAGCCTCAAGCATGCTACTACTGAGCCACAACCCCAACCCCAGAAGCCATATCCTGAAGGCCAAAGCCACTTCCCATCTGGCAACTTCCTGGTGTAGTTTTTAAATGATAAAACAAAACACCACGCTGGGTTATAAAACATGTGGCTAACTTCAGTGTTCAGTGGAGTGAGTTGAATGGAGGCCTCTCAAAAGATTTGTCCAGCTGAGCATGGTGGCACACGCCTATAATCTCAGCAGCTTGGGAGGCTGAGGCAGGAGGATCGCCAGTTCAAAGCCAGCCTCAGCAAAAGTGAGTCACTAAGCAACTCAGTGAGACCCTGTCTTCAAATAAAATAAAAATAGAGCTGGGGATGTGGCTCAGTGGTTAAGTGCCCCTGAGTTCAATTCCTGGTACCAACACCCCCCCGCTCAAAAAAAAAAAAAAAAAAAAAAGATTTGTGCATATCCTAGCCCCAGAATCTGTGTGACCGTATTTGGGAAAAGAATCTGTGCAGATGTTATTCAGTAAAGGTCTCGAGCTGGGATCGTTCTCCATTATCCCA